AAAAAAAGTTAATGAAATCATGAATTGTAAAAAAAAAAAAAAAATGGAATTTCTTTGAAACAAGGTAGAGATGTTTCATTGTTAAACAATGACATGAAAAGTTGGACTTTTCTTAATCGGAGGGAATTTCGGAGACTGTCTAATGGGTTTAATTCATTGACTTCTAGTTTTTTGTTTCTTTGTTTATTGGAGTGAAAAATCCTTGTTCGCAAAGGTAAATTTTGGAATAACGACCTCTGTTTCTATGTCCCCGTGTGCAATGTTGAGAACCTTTGCATCTCTTCAAGGCTTGAGCATGCGCGGTGGCAACACTCGGAGTGTGTGGTGCGGATCGCACCCGGGACATCCTAACAGGATTCAGACAACCTATGTGGGGGGGGGGACACTTCTAAGAGGTTGGGGGGGGGAGGGGATACACCTAATGAAAACTAGATCAAGTCGGTCTCATAATACATCCACGTTGAATACAAGAGCAGGGAGTCACCAGTCACCAGAGCAGAGTACTACCAGAGCAGAGGACCACCAGAGCAGAGGACCACCAGAGCAGAGGACCACCAGAGCAGGGAGTCAACTGTCACCAGAGCAGAGTGCCACAAGACCAGGGAGTCAACTGTGACCAGAGCAGAGTACCTCCAGAGCAGGGAGTCACCTGTCACCAGAGCAGAGTACTACCAGAGCAGAGGACCACCAGAGCAGGGAGTCAACTGTAACAGGGCAGGGAGTCACCTCTCACCAGGGCAGAGTATCACAAGAGCAGGGAGCCCAAACTTTCACCAGACCTCTGGATGACAACACGAGTTTACCACACTGGGTGGAACCCAAATCTAGTGACGCCACTTAGCATAATTAAACGTAGGTGACTAGGTTTAAAAATTGGACGTATACCAGACAAGACAGGAACGGTTAGAGCCAAGCCACAAGTAACCACAAGTTACTGGGTGTGTTTGGCTGTTACACAAGCAAGAATAAATATTTCGGACAAAAAACAACAAAAAACACACGTTTTAAATTTAATTTTATGAATATATCGAGTCCTCAAAACCCCCAAGATAATTTTTTTTAACCCCTTTTAGAGTAATTTACCCCCCCCCCCCCCCATTTTCCCGACCATTGATCATACGAAAGCAACAGTTGGTAGTCACAGACGCAGAGATCAGGGCATGAAGGAACTGTGAATGAATTTCGATGTCACTGTGGGAAATGATGCCATGTTCTCATCAGCAGGCTCGGTGTTTGGTCTATTTAACATTAAAAAAAAACAAAAAAAAACAACATTTTCCACACACCATGAGAGGCCGCCTCACACTTCCACATGACCTTACGGACCATGGGCCCCCGTTCTGGAACTAGCTCCCCTTCCATATCCGTCATTGTGAAACCGCGTCCACTTTTAAAAAGTCCCTTAAAACCCATCTGTTTAGGTCCGCCTATGACCTGTGATGCACCCTCCTTGCCCTGTCTCATTTTCTGTCTCGGGCTAATCCTGTAATATAGGCCAAAACGTGCCAAAGTGTCCTCGTTTTATAGCCATTTTAATTGTTTCTATAGTATAGTAGCTACTATCCTAATGTCTCATTTTTATTTTAGTTAGTTTACATGTTTTTAATAATTGTAAAGCGCTTAGAGCTTTAAGGTAAGCGCTATATAAAAATGCCTAAATAAATAAAACTGTTAACATTTTGGTGAAGTTTTCATTGAAACTGTTAATATTTTGGTGAAGTTTTCAATGAAACTGTTAACATTTTGGTGAAGTTTTCATTGAAACTGTTAACATTTTGGTGAAGTTTTCAATGAAATTTTTGACATTTTTTAAAAATTATTAGATGATAAAATGTAACAGCACATTTGATAATTTGGGTCATTTGTAAGGTATTTTGTGGATTTATAAGCCTTTTTAAACAAAATAGAATGATTATATGTGAGAAATATTTGGAGTTGGACGGCAAGACAAAGTGTCGTCCTAACAATTTTATCCTCACACACACATAAGGTTATCTTCACACACACGTAAGGCTATCTTTACACACACACAAGAAGGTTATCTTCACACACACACATTAGGTTATCTTTACACACACACAAGAATATTATCTTCACACACTTATAAGGTTATTTTTACACACACACAAGAAGATTATCTTCACACACACACACATAAGGTTTTCTTTACACACAAAAGAAGGTTATCTTCACACACACATACGGTTATCTTTACACACACACAAGAAGGTTATCTTCACACACACACACAAGAAGGTTATCTTCACACGCACACACACAAGAAGGTTATATTAATACACACATAAAAAGGCTATCTTCACACACAGAGAAGAGGGTTATCTTCACACACACACAAGAAGGTTATCTTCACACACATACACACACAAGAAGGTTATCTCCACACACACACAAGAAGGTTATCTTCACACACACACACAAGAAGGTTATCTTCACACACACACACAAGAAGGTTATCTTCACACGCACACACACAAGAAGGTTATATTAATACACACATGAAAAGGCTATCTTCACACACAGAGAAGAGGGTTATCTTCACACACACACAAGAAGGTTATCTTCACACACATACACACACAAGAAGGTTATCTCCACACACACACAAGAAGGTTATCTTCACACACACACACAAGAAGGTTATCTTCACACACACACACAAGAAGGTTATCTTCACACGCACACACACAAGAAGGTTATATTAATACACACATGAAAAGGCTATCTTCACACACAGAGAAGAGGGTTATCTTCACACACACACAAGAAGGTTATCTTCACACACATACACACACAAGAAGGTTATCTCCACACACACACAAGAAGGTTATCTTCACACACACATACATTCGACAACACATTGTCAAGACCATGCTATCATGACAGTAGCAAACAGACAATACCATCAACCAACACTAAGCACAATTTTATCAACCAAAGATATAGACAATTCTATCAACCAACAATACAGACAATTCTATCAACCAACAATACAGACAATTCTATCAACCAACAATACAGACAATTCTATCAACCAACAATACAGACAATTCTATCAACCAACAATACAGACAATTCTATCAACCAACAATACAGACAATTCTATCAACCAACAATACAGACAATTCTATAAACCAACAATACAGACAATTCTATCAACCAACAATACAGACAATTCTATCAGCCAACAAACTATTCCACCAAACCCAATTGTATTAACGTAGTATGTGAGACTGCCAGTGATTTTTCTGCGTCACAGTGGAAACATACAGAGGGCCATCTCATGGCTTGTGTACACATACACACACTATGGACACAGTGCTAAGCCGGCCCATCGAACACTATGCATGAGATAAGATATGCACTTATCTTTCATTAAAGAGTTGTAGTCACAATTTAGAGTCAGTCATTTTGTCCACAACTTTTAAAAATGCCGATCAACCATGAAATAAGATATACAATTATCTTTCATTAAAGAGTTGTAGTCACAATTTAGAGTCAGTCATTTTGTCCACAACTTTTAAAAATGCCGATCAACCATTTGGGGTTAAACCATCCAACGTAACAAAATTAATAATAATTACGTTATTAAATTAAATTATAGCTTTGTTTCACTGAGTCGTCGCCCCTGTTCCGATCGTAGGATTTATTTATAGCTCGCGGCACGCGCCTATTTATGAACATGTCTACATCAGCCCCAAAAGGTCAAAGGGCAGCTCACCAGCTGTGACCCAATGATAGAGATAACATGAGCTCACCCCCCCCTTTTTTTTTAATATCGACTAACTTTGTTAGCACGTACAAACTTGTATATGTTTGCAGCTTATGGCGTGCCAGGTTAACACGCACTTAATTTTTATAGCACATCGGATAGAACAGATATTCTGCTCAGAATTCGCGAGCCACGGGCGGACCCAAGGTGGGGGTTAAACCTGAGGAGGCGATTCCTTTGGGTTTTTTTTTTCCCAGCTTGTGACAAGATCCAGAGCACTTAAAACCAGACTATCTCTCAGGGTCGGCCACTCTACAACATACAATTTACGGACAAATTTTGTAAATCTGCACAAATTAGACGGACAAGCATACATTTTTACATACGCATTTTACAATAAAACATATCGTTCCGCCTTTGTGAACCCATTTTGTTGTTTAATGTATGCGTGTCTGGTTTTGTCAGTCCTTTCATTATAACTACATGATTTGATCATTGAAACATGAGATATTTTATAGTGTTAGTTTATTGTGTGAAATTCTCACCACATTGTCCTTTCTTCTGACTAATGATCAATTCAAGTTTACAGTAAACAACAACAAATGACATTTGTGTTATAATTTCTCATGTATACAGACATTATAATTATTTTTGTGGACTGGTGTAAAGTAGCACACGGTTGTGGGAAAACCTTCTTCTTGTGTTTTTCTGAGATACCTCAGTTAAGCTAAGTATATATTAAAATATATTTGTTTCTCTCTTCTATTTTTTTGTTGCTGACGAAGGCTTCTTGCTGACATGTTCGTTGCGTCCCTCTTTTTACAGGTCGCCTCCCCCACCTCATACTACATTTAAACAAACAAAAAAAAGTCTCTAGAACATGTTGCAATGTATGATTTTGACGAGCTCAAAGTCTGCACAATTTAATGTCTGAACACAAACACAGCCAACAAACTATTCCACCAACCCAATTGTGCTAACGTAGTATGCGAGATTGCCAGTGATTGTTCTGTGTCACAGTGGAAACATACAAAGAGTGCCATCTTATGGCTTGTGACACACACCATGGACACAGAGCAAAGTCGGCCCATCAAACATTATGAATAGCGTGTAGCGCAACTTGCCTGATGCCCAAATTCCTCCTTTATTTTTTAATAGGTGTTTTTATTATTTTGTAGAAGCCAAAAATCTGGCACAACTTGTAGTTAGAGTTAAAAACATTTAGACCCAAATCAATAGAACTAAAATAATTTTCTATGCTCATTTCCCCAGGTCGATATCGACTCCTACATAGTCATGTGACCTGTGGTGACCATTGCGGCTTGAAGTGAACAAGGTGTGTTTTATCTCAACTGCGTGTGTTCATTTAAACCGTTGCTAATGGTCATAATGCGACGCTAGCTTATCATTGGTCTACATTTCTTTTGTGTGCCAGTTTGGCTAGTGTTAAAGGAAATTATCGCGTGGGAATTTAACAACCTGCGACCTTCAACTTCAGGTCAACGTTATCTGCCAAGTTGGATTTGAAAAAAACTATAATTTTGCTACTGACCCACCCTTGAACTTTATAATTTTCTAGAACACTTCACATTACTCTATACTTCTATTAGTACTAGCCACTAATCAACAAAGCGTCTTTACCAGTCTTTAGTTGCTGTGAACGTGATATTTTAATAAAATGATGTTCAGGTGTTAGCAAAGATAATATAGTTAATTCATTTGTCAAAATCGTTTCACTTTCAAACACGTATTGTGGCCAGGTTACCTTACACTTAAGTTTCCGAGCAAAATATTTTAAATGACAATGAAATTTACTCACAAAAATTTAAACATAAAATATTAGTTAAAGTTACATGAAAGGATTTCAAAATTGTTAATGTATTTCCATCGGTGATTTTAATCCTCTATTGGCCACTGCTATTATTTTATATTATTTTAGTCAGATAAATCATTTTAAACATAACACTGCCATGGATTATTTTTGCTGTTTTCTTTAAAACAAGGATGAACATTATCCAGGATCCCTGAATATTCAATTTGTGGATTAAAAACTGAACACAAACTACAAAACTAAGTTTGACGTTGGATATATTTTTTTTTTACTGTGTGAACTTCTTTGATTTTGTGAACAATGTGCAGCATGTCCATCGTCCAGCTGATTTTCTCCATGGTCATCGTGGTGTGGCGTGTCCATGGAATAGATGAGTCGAGTTTTGAGGATACCTTAGGTAAGTCTCTCGACTTTTCAAATCTCAAGGCGAAACTGCTATACATTTTATTAACCTTTTAGAGTTTCCAGACAACTTTTCTCTCCATATATTTATTTCATTCCCATGCTATTGATTGCAGCCTGGGTTAGTTTCACATGTTGCCCTATATGCCTTCCAGCAAAATAATGCTTCTATTTTTATACCATCAAATTCACTGCGATAAAATCAACTCTATTTATAACAGTAACATTCTTACGTTAATCAGTCATGCGCAAAGGACGGCGTGGATGCCAGCGGGTCTCTGATCGTAAAGTTCAAGAGAAAGTAAATGAAGATTTTATTAACAAATATGTGATTCGCTAATGCATTATAGGGTCTCAAAATATGATTAAGATTTTTTTTTTTAAATTAATGATTTGCTAAAATCGACTATTACGGATGCATCATTTTGTACCAGGATGTCGTAAAGGTGACATCATAAAAATGTAATGAAAAAGATTTTGTCAAACTATCGCTGTAATACTTAAGGTTAGCTTGATGAAGAATTAGTTGTTTTACAATTCATAAATTCGACTTATTTGAGCAATAGTGACGGGTATTATTACTAATTCTATTTAACATATCCAATTAGGCATTTTGACTGAACATGTTTGTCTTAGTTTTATCAGGCCGTTGTTATTTTTAAACACGAAAACAACGCTTAAAAAAAAAATCGTATCCTTTCTTTGTAAGCATTGTAGGCATCTCGACGATTTCCGTTCATTGAGTAATTCTCTTTCTTTTGTTAAAAATGAAAACGAGGGGGTGGGGGTGGGGGGTGGAGCTATGAAAATTACTAAAAATCGTCTCACTATCCCTTCAGCATATTAAATTTTTCAAATAATTGGAAAATCTAATATTGGATTCTGTTTCTGTTCCCAATCCCAGAGGGTCTTCGCACCCTGTCACCGATTATTACTTTCATTTCAATGGCAGTGACCTCTCTTCCACTTTCCTAGTGATTTCCCTTTCTATTGTCAGGTTGTTATTTTTTTTTTTTTTTTTTAATTGGAAATCAGTAAGCGTCACTCATTGGATCCCTTCATATTCCAATATCCTAGGTCCTCCCGTGCCACACCCTCCAGTTATATCATTTTCTCACGGGGTTTACTGGATGTTATGTGGAATACTAAACACGAAATGAGATGAGAGTGAATCACTACAGAAACAAAGAGGAAAAAATGCGAGCCTTGAGGGGGGAGGGGGGAGGAAGAGAGAGAGAGAGAGAGGGGTGGAAAAGGGGAGGGGGGTGTTTACTGTACAATTTTTGGCAATAGAAAAAGTATCCTTTTATGTATCAGTGACTGCCTGTTTTGATCGTTACCATTAAAATGATTTTTTTTTCTTCCCTTGAATGTCATAAACTTCTCTGAAATGAAAATACGAGAAGGTCCGGTCAATGCAAACGAATTGTTAGCGTAGTTACTTAACAAACTTGGCAGATTATCAGTAGAGTTAACGACGTTGTCCACTTCTCCCCATGAGTCCAGCATCTTGCTGGTCATGGGGGAACATCCAGCTTCAAGGAAAACTAACTGTTGGTTGCGACAGTCATCTGTGCATTGGCCAGTCGGTGGGTCAAACTAAGAGTCGGCTGTTTTAATTTAGGGGCTGCGCAATTCATGATTTAATCTACTATAGGCAGTGGAATTTTAAATGTAATTTAACCGGGCATGTTAGCGTAGCTTTAAAGGTAATTATTTTATCTGGTCATGTCGATCTTTATTGGAATAATGAGACACATTAAATTGTAAATAAAACAACTTGTGTCACAGCTATAATTATCATTAAACAAAATACAAATTTAAACTGTGTGGCTAATCAGTAAAACACCCTCCCCCCTAAAAAAATAATAATATAATAATAAATTAAATTAATATAAAGTATGTTTATCCTACCTATACATAAATACATAAAGATGAAAGAAAAGTCCCTAACGAAAACAGATATCAGACGATCGGAAAAAAGTGGGCGGGAGTACAATATAAAAACCTAACAGGAAAAAGACATGGCAGCTATGTAAAATAGTGAATTAGTTTTAATACCTTATGTAGTCAACGTAACAAATATTTAAAAAAAATTAATTTGTTTTCCATATAATTTTCTAACACGTGTGTTACTTGCATGCAGTATACCAGTTACTGCAATTTCCAATATTCCATTGTGGTTAGCACTATTGAAATTGTTAGAAGCGGGACAAAGGGCTTTTTAAATGTATGTTTATTATGTTTATGTGTCAATTCCGATCTAAAGTACGACATTTTTGTGTTTCCAGCTTGCAACTTTAGATATACCGTTAGGAATTGATTGAACACTGTTTTTGAACATATAATAGTTTGGGAGGGTGTTTTTTTTAATTCAGATTCCGGCCGATATTTTGGTCAGACAGATAAGGCACTTTAAATTAAATGTTATGAGTACACTGTTGTGAAGCGAGTTTTGGAGAAAGATGGAGGGGGGCGTTACATACGGCAATAATTTTGTATCGCCCCATTTCATTGAACTGTGTGTACAGACGCCCTTAAACAGCAAATGTATAGACTCCTTAGACAGCCAATTTACAGACGCCCTTAAACAGCCAATGTACAGACGCCCTTAAACAGCCAATTTACAGACACCCTTAAACAGCCAATGCACAGACGCCCTTAAACAGCCAATGCACAGACGCCCTTAAACAGCCAATTTACAGACACCCTTAAACAGCCAATGCACAGACGCCCTTAAACAGCCAATGCACAGACGCCCTTACACAGCCAATGTACAGACGCCCTAGACAGCCAATGCACGGACGCCCTTACACAGCCAATGTACAGACGCCCTAGACAGCCAATGTACAGACGCCCTTAGACAGGTAATGTACAGTCGCCCTTAAATAGCCAATGTACAGACGCCCTAAGACAGCGACTGTACAGACGCCCTTAATCAGCCAATTTACAGACGCCCTTAATCAGCCAATGTACAGACCCCCTTAGACAGCGAATGTACAGAAGGCCCATAGGCAGCCAATGTACCGACGCCCTTAGACCCGTGTTCTAATAGACTGGCCTGGGCCGGTCGTGAAATTCTTTATTTCCCCTCCCCACCACTCTTACCAAAAACAACAACAAAAAACGCCGGCCCTCGGTCGTGGTGGGGTGAGGTCCTGACATCGCCACCTTAGTTACACTACTCTAAACACAGAAAAATGGAGAGAAAAAACACACATTGATTTTATGCTTGTTCCAAACGAAAGCTTCGTTACTTCAATTTGTGCGGTAGAATTGATTCATCTAGATTAGGCACGCGCGTGTCTTCCATATATCGCATTCTTCTTGTCCCCCCTTAACGCTTCTAGGGGGCGCAATAGCACTTGATCGGTTATTTAGGGGTGGCTGGATGCTAGTAATGATCTCATTAGTCAGTTTACCGGTGGGGCGGGACTTGTCCTAATGTTGACTATCGGCGTGATTATCGTAAGAGGCTAACACAATCACAAAGGTTTTAGCGGTGATCAATACATCGAGGTGGCACAACAATGTTGTTTTGGTGGGACGGAAGAGATTTTCATTTCTTAGTTCGGCATCGCCGAGATGAAAAACGTGACATTGTGGTGGGTGTGGTTTGCGAATAAAGTCTTTGTGTGTGTGCGTGTGGAAAGTGTGATATTTCCAACGAGATAGATGCACGGACGAATGAATTCATTGGTTCGTTGAATGGGCGGGAAGACTTAACGTTTGTGTGAGGATGTTTTCATTGGTTGATTAAGAAACGATATTGCCAAAGAGAGGCTGCGACAAGACTAAAATGAGGCGAATTAGTGAATTGAATTAGCTATACACCCCTCTTCCTCCTCCCCTTCCTCCTCGTATTTTGGCACCTTTTCCAATGAGGTACGAAAAAACCACACATTTGTGAGCAAGTTAAGTTTAAGGTTAAAGTCAGTCAAGGATTTAGTTAAGAGAGATCGGGAATCGGGGGATTTGGGAATGGTGGTTGGGGGTGGGGTAAAAATAACAGGCGTCCATGCAATTTTGAAAGTAACGTTTCAGATAAAAATAACGAGACTATTTTTTTGCACCCAAACAATTTAAAAAAAAAAACACATGATTCGCCACTGCAGAAGTGAATAAATAGTTTGTAGCATAGATCAGGGGTATTAATGTATAGACTATAAACTCTGCTGAACATTTGATTGATTTGAGAGGATGCAATTATTTGGAGTTTTTAAAACCTGTAGCAGAATTGTGGAGATGGGGGCTCGATCTTATTCAACAGAATCGAAGTGTGTAAAATAAGGAAGCAGTGGATAGTGTATTTTTTAAAGCTGTATGATTGGACTAAATTTTTAAAAGCTGTATGATTGGACTACATTTTTAAAAGCTGTATGATTGAACCACATACAGTCACGAACATTGAGTCAACGCTTAGGCTGTCATCCCCAATAATCAAATCTGTCACAACCAATAATCATATTTTTTAATCATGAATGTCCATATTCATATTATACATTTTAATAAATAATCATATGTGTCGTCATATAAAAAACATGTCTGTCATCATCAATGATCATATCTGTCATCACCAATAACCACATTTGTTATCACCAAAAGCCATTGCTGTCATCACCAATAATCATGTATGTCATCCCAAAAATGTTCATGTGTGTCGCCAGTAATCTTATGCCATCACCAATGATTATGTCTGTCATCAAAAATAATCATATCTCACCAATAACCATTTATCATCACCAATGATCATGTCTGTCATCAGAAATAATCATATTTCTCAATTTTTTAAATTAAACTTTTTGTCTTGAAATAATCCTTTACCATTTTTAATGGATCAAATATATGAGGTATTGATAAAGTTGGCTATGACAATAAGTGATTTCAGTTTTGAAAGAGAGAAAGAAAATCATTGAATTTCTAAAAATTATATAAACTTAACTAACAAAAAAAATTCTATCGTAGTTAGATTTATTGGAAATAAACTTTAAAAAAAAAAAGCTCTGAAAGTTGAATTTCCATTATCCATATATTCTAGCTAGACAAGAATACCCATATAAACCAACAGGTGAACAGATCTATACAAATTATAGTCAAGAAATGACAGCATTAATTTTTGCACAGGGGTTTGAGAGTTTACAATAAAATGACGAAATTTTAAATGTAAATGAACGTTATCACGTGACGATCAACCTGACATTAAAATCAAAACCGTATATGACAGGGCCTTATTTAAAAAAAAAAAAATTGGTTTTAAGAAGCTGATAAAATATATTGCAGAGAAATGCAAACCAAGTCAAGTTCACATCTCATACGGTCGTCTGACCACTGAGATGGTCATCATGTGGTCAACAGCTGGCCAGTGCTCAACTGCAGTCAAATATGGAGTTGACCCGTGGAAGCTTGACCAGTTGGCCTCGGGAGAGAGCCTCATGTTCAACGACAATACGGTCGGACTCAAAGTCTTGCACAGAGTCGAACTCAGGGTAGGTAACTCTTTAAAATGAACACGACATCAAGGTAGTTAACTCTTTATTAAAGAAAAATTAAATCAGGTGTGGTTACTCTTTTTTTGGGTATACAAAACTTAGTGGCAATAGTGGGCAGTGAAATTGAAGAATGGTAACTCATGAATGAGTAGCCTCAGATAAAAACAATATTGTTTGAACGGTTTCAATAAGATAATCCCCACAATTTATTTTGTATAGGTCTACAAGACCTAGGAAGACATTATTTAATTACTCCGTATTTTTTGTTTTTTTTTACATTTGGTAAGAGCCTGATGGGTTCTTAAATTAACTAAGGTCATTCGTGATTTTTGAAAGACGTCATGGCGTCCATCCAAAAGATCTTTTTTTTTTTTTAAATCTTCTTTTAAATTAATTTTTAGCCAGAGACAGACTTGAATTTGCCAAGTTAATTTTCCTGATTACTATCATCTAACCTTAAACAAATATGCTGCTTCAAACTATGAAATTATTTATCTGAAGGAAAAAAAGAGTAGGCCTATATTAGAACTTCTTACTTTAAAACAAAAGACAATAAAAAATGCCTGGTTGGACTGAACCACTCAAAAAATCTGTCAAAGGCTCCAGTTATTATTATGTTACTATTACTATCCATTAATTGTAATTAATGTTTTAGATATTTATTACATTAAAAGGATAGAAATAGTTGTTACACAACAATACTTAAAAACCACAGATGGCAACTCAGAGAATGAAATTCACTAGTCTGTAAACTTGGGGGAAAAGTGTCATGAAACCGAAAAAAAATATATTGAAGTTTTTATTTTTTAAACGCCTTTATCATTTAATTATTTTAAAAGGAAATGTTAATTTCTTTTACAACAGTTTTTTTCCACAATGCCCATTAGGGGACAATTTGAAGATTTTGCGGGAATTTAGTATCTGAGAAAGGAAATGTATTTACGTTTTAATACATGGTTGGGGGCAATATAAAACAGGTCATATATTTAAAGTTAATCAATGTTATTGTTTGTAATTTTTTTAAATTGTTAAATTCCTGATAGAAGCCTGTACTGTAAACATCTTTTTTTTATAGCTCTTCGTCTTATAGAGACAGCGACATTAATGCCTTATAGGATCTCAAGGGGGGTATGGGACTAAATAAGTTTGAGGACACATTACTTTAGAAATCACAAAATCAATATAGTGTGAGTCTCTTGGTGTAAAATATAATATTTATTTACAGGGATGGATACTTTAAAAATAACAAGTCTCTTTTATTATTATTATTAATTATCATTTTTTTTTTTTTTTGAATTAAAAAACATTTTTTTCCAATCTGAACTGGATCAAATGTTTCCTTTTCCACAGTTACTGATGCCAAATAAGACATATTTTTACACCCCTGTCAGTGATGAAATCTCTGGTGCGACTAACTTCTTCAGGACACCAGCAAGCAATGGGGTGATTATTTGTTAGAATTGATCAAACTGAATGGAAGGATGTGGTGGAGCAGGCTAGGGCCCTACATTAGCTCTAGCACCACTGATGATGATGATGATTTGTTAGAATAAATATTAGAATTAATTGCCTAGTCACCACCAGCATCATGTTGTAATGAAAAATTACTCCCTAAATACCAATAAAATATTCAGAATCTTTATTTTTGTATGACAAAAAAAACCAAGATGGCTTTAATATCAGGAGATGTCCTTAAAATATTTGATATAAATAAACAGCTAGTGCTGAAACTGGATCGAAATTTCTTTCCATCTCCTTGGAACAACTTCAAATTTTTGTTTAACTTCAAACATTCTCAGACTCCTGACGTTCAGCTGATGATCATCAGTGATGTCAACACAACATCCACAGCCATCCACAGACTGTTGCTAGAGGCTCAGACAGGGAAATATGCAGCACTGCTTCATACAGGAAACATTGCCATGAACCTCAGTACTCATGGGGGGCTGGTCAGTTGCTGGTTTTTTGTTGATTAATTCATTTTCTGCTGTATTATTCAAAATTGGTGGATAAATTCGTTTTTAGTGAATTGGTGAGTTTTGTGTATGGATCAATTCGATTCAAATGAATTAATTTGTTTCTAGTGAATCCTTTAGTTTTTTTAGTGGATTAGTGAGGCTTTAATGGATTGGTAAATTTTGTCTGAATTAATGGTGCTTCCATTTGTTTTAGAATGGTGACAATTACATGAAGTTAATGGAACCAGCCATCTGTTCAGTACCCTACATGGTCTCACCTGGTCCAGCTGGTAATTTTATTTTTTAAATACATGATTTTTGAAGATTTTATTGTTTATTTTAGTCATTTAAAAAAAAAAGAGCAATAATATTTTTTTTATATTTTGAATTAATTATGTAAAATCATTTGAACACTTTAAAAAACTACATAGTCAGACAACATGTTTGGTAAGGAAGTTATAATTACAGAGTGGTGTCTAATTTGCTTTTTCAGAAGTGGAAGAGCAGGAAACATTTTCTCAGTACCTTCATAGATTCTCAATGCCAGAAACAGAGTGGCCAATTAGTGTTGACAAAATGTGGTACAGTGTAGACATTGGCCCTGTCCATTTGATCAGGTGGGTAATGATGGCTTAAAAAAGTTGTTCAAAGACATCCAAAGATGACAAGTTAATCTGTTATATTGAAACACAAAAATACATAATACATGTCTACGTGATAAACCCTACATTGTTATAAAATGAAAAACAGTTTGGAGAGTTGACTAAACAATACGTAAGGATATTTATAATTATATACAAATATTTCTAAGTTTAATAGATAATTGTGTTTTATTTTTATATTATGAGGCTACTAACAAAAATTAAAAATTTAATGTTTGAGAAAACGGACATTGAAAATATATAAATGAAAACTATCTTTTTACCTATGACTTTCAGTCTAATGAATTTAAGAAACTAAATTTTATTTTAAAATTCCAGTTATTCGACAGAAGTATTCTATACCAAAGATGGAAGATATGCATCTATGCAACATGATTGGTTGATCAAAGATTTGAAGCTAGCCAATCTAAACAGAAAGAATACTCCTTGGGTGGTAGCATTTGGGCACAAGCCGTTGTACTGCACTTATGAAGACCCTGAACTCTTTTGTAACAAAAAAATTTCTAAAGTTAAGTCAGGGTAAATAAATTTTATTTTTAAACAATTGATTAGAATTATAAATTTTAAATTATTTGTTATGGGCAACAATTATTATTCCTGCAATGCAAACCTTAAACACATTAACATAGCTTTTAACATTTAATAATGAAAGCTTTTTCTGTTGACTGTTTTTGCAAGTTTAAAAAAACACACTCTTATCTCCTTGAAACATGGAAAAAAAAATTTTTTTTTTAAAACGTAAATGCTCTTTATGTGCATAGGTCTTTGAGGTTTAATTGTAACTACATTGTGCAACTTATAGTGTTTATGTAATGCCAATATTCACAGTCTGGAGGACATATTTTACCACTATGGTGTTGATATCATCATACAATCATATGGTGGAGCTTATGAACGAACATTCCCGATGTATAAAGGGGTTCAAGTCAGTGATAACTACACAGATCCACTCGGACCAGTCCATATTATTTGTGGGGGTGCCAGCCAGTTTAATATAGACTACAATTTTACAGAACCAGCGCGTAAGTTATCTTGATACTAAAAATAAATCATATTTAAACATGTCTCACACAGGCAAATTAAAACTCATAACTCTACACGTTTTATGTTATTTAAAAACATATGGATCTTAGTTGAGGTGGCCATTCATTGACCTACCAAATGTGAGTTTTTGCTTTATTCTTGCAGATCACACTGTATATAGCAAGCATACTGCCTATCACATACAGATATGTGGGTGTTGTTGCTATAACTTTAATCATGTGATATACAAACTGATTTCATCCAACACAGGATACCTATTTATATTTTCAGCTGCGTGGTCCGCTTTCCGCTTGTCCAATGACACCATGCTGACCTATGGCCGTCTTAACATTGTCAATGGAAGTATACTGGATTATGAACAAGTCAACATTAAAGATGGGAGTATTGTTGACAGTCTCAGAATTGTGCAAGGCAACCATGGCCAATTTTCAACTGCTAGTCTACCTCCAAATGTGTCAGCTGAAATTGATAAAGAAATTGTTGATGCTGGGGGCAAGCCAGGTAAACAACTTTAAAATTGGAGTTTATAGTTTAGTGGTTTGGGTTTGTTTGTTGCTCAGAATTTAAATACTAAACAAAACCAGTTACACATTTTATTCAAAGATTAATTATTGGTTACCAAATATTTCTTCTTTGTAAGTGATTTATATTATTATGTTTCTAAAAGCCTAAAAAAATACTATAGATGTTTATTACTAAATTTGAATCACTTTTCAAAACATTAACAACAACTGCAGCAGCAACAACAACATAAACAGCAGCTAGATGAAAACAAACTTAACTGTTTTCTCATTTGTACTTTCATTTTTAATCTATAGTAATTTCTAAAAATATTGACTCGGTTCAAAGTCACCACATGTTACAAGCTGTGCAATATTTTTTTTAATCTCTCCTCCCTCCCCCGCTAATCCCAGGTATTTTAAATATTGAAGAGATCAATGTGACAACCCCAAAGTCTAAGATTGCTGAGTTGCTTGAAGGAGACAACCGCAACCGCATTATCATAGGTGCCAGCTGTGGGGGCTTTTTTCTGTTAGTCATCATTGCTGTCGTGGCCACAAAGAAGTGCAGGAGAAAGAGCAAGGTGGCCAGGAGGTGGGAGCAGATGGACATAAACTACGGGAAGAAGTTTTACAGCAAGGCCCCGGACAAAGACGAGGACAATGACTTTGAGATTGACATGAGTGATGGGACTGAACCAACACGGAAGTTGCTTAATGCTGCTGACTGATGGGACGGAGCAGACGTAAAGGTTGTTTAATGACGGCAAATGGTGAATGTGTTTCCACAGGAGACTATGTTTGTTTACTGAATGCTGAGAGCATCTTGACAGGAGTGTGCTCGAGTTTTATTTTTTAAAGAGGACTGAGAGGAACAATGAATCTCTGTGAGTTCCCGACTCAGGTATCACACTCATCAAAACTAAGTTGATTGAAACAGTTGAGTTTTGAAAGATCAGCTCTAAAAATCTTTCAATTTAATGCTAATTATGAATGCAGACAAAAGATGTGTTGTTGTTTTTTTACAAGATATTATTGAGAAAAAGTTGTGTCCATATCAGCAGTTATTTTGCAAGTTTAACAAATGATTCTCCAGTACTGCATTTATAAATGATATTAAATGAATACATAATTATATAACATATGATTGAACATTCTGCATGTTCCTGAAAATATATTTTTTATTTTTGAAAATATATCTTCTTACATACCCTTGGTACTCATTCTTGATATGTAAGTAACATTTCTAATTTGTTTTAAATCATGGCTTATTTTATGCAACTGTTGTGTGTTCATTTATGGGTTATGGAAATTAATACAATTATTTCTCATCTTTAGAAACAAGGATAATAAATAATCACCTTAATTATTACGATTTTTCTATAATCAACTGCATATACAATTATTAAATAAATAAATAAATAAGAATTTTTAAAAAAAAATTGTTTATCAAATTAATGAGTGTAATTATTTATTTGTGTAAAATACATAATTATCTCAGTTGGCAGGGCATAAGTGCAATTGTGTTGTAGTATATTGAAAGTGCGTACATTGTTTTGTGTTTTATTGTAAGGGTATTCATGAAACCAAAATATTTATTTGTGTACTTCCACAATTCTAAGCATCAAAATAATTATAAAATATCCTGTCTGGTGCCTTATTCTATACGTAACAAGATATGGTGCAACAACTTTTTGTATTTTGTAGCACCATTATTGTCACATCATTTGCGAATACAAGCTATGTATGATAGGAGGGAAACAAATTTCTAATTCACCTCATTTGTATTGATGTTCCATTACATGTGTATTTAAATATACTTTATATGGTAAGAGTTTCAATGCATTTTTCAAATTAAATAAAACTATAATAAGATTTTTGAAAAGATTTCTTTCATTAGGGTATTAAATTATTTGACTTTCAGTACAACAAAAATTAAGAGCTGAAAACTGGACAATTTTTTTTTTAAATTTAAAGATAAACTGTCTTCTAATGCAGGTTAACAAAAAAAAAAAGAATATCTTAATGTCAGATTTTTTTTTTTATAGTCTGCACATGAATCTAGCATCTGAACTATGTGAACTAGTTGAGACGCTTAACTACATTTCAAATTAATACTGAAAATATTTCTCAAATTATCCTTTAATCTGTGTTCATCCATATTTTAGCACATTGGACATTTTTCTCTTCCCATTCATCTGTGTAAAATGGCTCACTTTTTAATGTGTATATAAAAGATTTGTGTGTTCAGTTACATGACTATATTGTAAATTCTAAGAGCCTCAATGTCCACAGGTTTTATAGGCCAAAAATTTATTTTAAATGGAAAGCTGTAGAATAAAGTTTTAAAACATGTTAAAATTTTTTTTAAAAACAGAGTGCATTTTAACAAAATAATTTACAATTAATTCAGATGTTGCATTGTAAATTTCCTTAGAATGAGTAAATGTCATTTGAATCCCAATTTTAATAAATTCCCTCCAATTTAATAAAAAGTTTAATGGTTTATGTTTTTGATTAATTTATGCTTTTGGCTTTGTAAAAATGAAATTCAAAAGCAGAATAAAATGTTGAGCGTTTCTAGCAAAGACTTTTGCCTCTGCTAATGTATTTCCTTTGTTCATTAAAAGATGTAACTTGTACAAATTTCTTATCACTAGCATCAGCTGCTGCTGACTAGCTCTGAAGAGTTATATTAAATTGCATAAATGACCATAGCAATGAATTCTTTTTAACATGACAACATAACTTTTATTTAAAAGAAATAATAAAAAAATTTTAACCATCAGTACATTTGTTTTGCTTTTTTAATTTTTATCATCTTTAATAATCTAAATAAATAACATTGTTAAAATGGGTTTAATTAATTTTATTCTTTGACAAAATTTGACATTTATTTTTACTATAAAAATAACATGAATAATAAATCAAATTTAATAAATAATAGAAATAAAGGAATTCTTAGTGAATCCACACAAACTGAGCACAACTAAATTTGTCTTGATCATAATCACAATTGAATGTTGGTACATGAAAATTATATTGTGATCCATAATTCATAATATGTATACAGGTACATACGTTAAGTTTTACAATCATTCATGTAAATTAAGTAATGAAAGAAATCACAGAAGATAATTTTGAAATCAAACCAGAACCTCCAGATATTTAGATGTCTTGAATTGGCCAACATATTTTTTAAAAGTATTTATAAACTAATGAAGTTCATTAGCCGATTGCTTTTGTTTTATTATTTGTCACTATTTACAATAAAACATAGACTTGGTTGGGATATCAAATTTAAATAGAACATTTATCTGTCTTACAACTCCATGACAGTGCTCTCTTGTTCATCATGGACCTGCTCTGTAAACTCCATTGATTCATGTGAGGTTCCCAATGTTGTGAAAACTTCCTATAAATGAAAATCAACATTAATTCACTCAGTTATACATTTATACCAATGTGAAATGTATTATAGAAAAATGTAAACACTAGTGAGAGAGGGTTTATGTTATAATAACTTTTAAATATCTCACATATACCACTCTATAAATGTTTAGATAAAATATCTCACATATACCACTCTATAAATGTTTAGATAAAATATCTCACATTTACCACTCTATAAATGTTTAGATAAAATATCTCACATATACCACTCTATAAATGTTTAGATAAAATATCTCACATATACCACTCTATAAATGTTTAGATAAAATATCTCACATATACCACTCTATAAATGTTTAGATAAAATGTTTGCTCTTTAAATAGTCTTTGTGTAAAACTGTTGACCCCACCTCATGCGTCTTGATGTGCTCATCTATATCTTGTGTTGATGAAAAGTTCTGACCACAAACTGGACACAGCAGATCTGACTCCTGGCTTAATTTGTCTCCCTCTGATCTGGCTTCTCTGAGATTTTGGGAATTTACTGCTTTCTCTGAAATTTATTCCAGACAATTAACGCCATTTCTTTTTAAGTTTATTTTGTTTAAACACAAAACTTATTCACACTCATGGTTTATTCAATAGTATCTAAATAAAAAGTATTTCAATCCTTTTCAGACATGAAGACTTTAGCATAGAGGAGTTCATTATATTAAAGATAAAAAACTTTGTACATGTACAAATATTCATAAATAACTTATAACAGATGAAGAATCTGCTTAAACGCTTAAAACATAACCACATAACACGCATTGGGCAATGGATCCACTACCAACATTAACTGACAGAACACAACCATTCATATATTCAGTGCTTGGTCATCACCCAAGTTATACTGTGCACACCTTGTGAAAATAAGAGGGAATATAGACTACAAACTTTTTAAATCAAACAATTTATAGCCTTATTGTACTATTGTAAAACATTCACTGCAAAAATGCATTCCTCTCCACTGAAGCAATGTAAACATTCTACTATATCACTGTTTGTAAATTCTTTTAATTTTCCAAAAGAGAATTGCATTTTCTGGTATTAATCAGTTGCCAATAGCTGCTTTAAATTATCATTGACCTCCACTAGCTCAACAAATCTCACCTGAACTTTTCTTGTCTGTGTGTATTCTCATGTGTAAGTTAAGATACCTCTGAGAGGTGAATGTTTTCTTACAAACAGAACAGGGGAGAGAACTGCCTGGGGATGATGACACAATATTTTAATACTAAAGGTATTATAGTAAGATATTTAGTCAGAATATCAAAGACAGCCAATTTCTAATCTCACAATTAGGTCACTACAGTCTCAAATATTTGGTGGCTGAGATTGTTTTATTTACCGGGTACCTCCTGACACAAGTGTAGCTAACAAATCTATTCCACCAAGTAGAATATTATACACAGTGATGTCCATGCCTAAAAATGGACAGTACTGGTCTTTATAAAATGAAAGGCCTTTAAAAAAATTAACCAGAAAATATGCTTGTGACAAATAATTATTACACTGGCTAATTAGAGATTTATCTAAATGATAAAAAAATTAATACAAATCAGAAAATTAAGTGTGCAGTGCACCTTGTTGTTCCTAGGTTCAGAGAAATCTATTACTTTTCAATACAAGTGAGCTAAGACTTGGTTTACCTGTTCTGTGGGACAAGATGTGATTTTGCAGCGCACTCAGCGTGGAACATTCTTTTTCACACATCATACACTTGAAACTTTTCTTGCGTCTCTGCTCATCCTCCTTGTTTGAGTGGACTGTGAAGAAATGTTGCTGCATGGCCATTGCTGTGGTGAATGTCTGGGCACAGAGGGAGCACCTGCAATAGGAGATAATGTAATATTAATAATGTTAACATTCATTATATTGATGCTTTAATGAATCTGTTCAAAACAAAGTTAAATATGTGAGTGTTCCAAAATTTGTTTTTGCGATTAATTTTTATCAAGGATAATTAATAAAGGACTGCGTTCAAGTTTTGTGAAGGAAATAGTAGAACAAGGTATGGTGAAAGCTTGAAATATAAAGACAGGACAATAAAAAATTTCAACCATTTTCTAGACTTAAATTTTTTTAAAAATTTGGATTGCAGATTTTCATGATCACGTGGTATGACAAGATCACACAGCATGACGTGATAACATGATAAGACACTAACTTTGGTATTTATTAAAGGTTTGATTCTGTTGAAAGTTTAAAAACATAATAACTTGGGGAAATGCCACAGGGTATATGTTATATATTGTGTGATTGAAATCATTATAATTTTTTTACAAAGTAACTGGGGTATTTTCATTAAACTTTTCTTTAGTCTCCACAAATTCTGTATAAGAAGCTATTTCTTGTTTGTACTGAAATAAGCAGCTCCCTGCAAGCCTAAGTGCAACTCTATGAATAAACCAATCAGCACTGTATACCAACCTGATGCTATTATTTCCATCTTTCTTCCAGTGGGTTTTGCGGTGGTTGGCCAAAGCTGTACCAGTGGAGAAGTACTTGAGACATTCTGGACACTGGAGACCAGAAGAAGCTGTAGAAGCTGGCACAGTGGGGACTGTTAACGTTTCCTGAATCTTAGAGTTGGCCAAATTACCGAAATCGTAGCCAGATGGGTGGGTTGGGAGAGAAAAATTCTCAAGCAATTTTTTGTTGGTTGACGCAGAAGCTGATGACATCTCTGCAGATTTCATGAGCGGGGACGATGAGAGGAAAGAGGCCAGTGTGGCCGCAGAGAGAGCCGCAGAAGATGCAAACAAGGAACCTGATGACGGTGACAGTGACGATGGATTGGCTGAGGGTGTAACCATCCCATGATTGTAAATGAGTTTATGATTGTCCAGCTCGGCTGTGAAAAAAAACTTCTGAGAGCACAGGGAGCAGCCGTATTTTCTAAATGATGCGCCGTGTTCTAATGCATGGACCTGAATCTCTTGAGGGGATTCAAAAATTTTGTTGCACACAAAGCAGACAATGTCCTTGCCGATAAAGCTGTGCTGGATGAGGTGGGTTTGAAGCCTCGCCGGCGAGTCAAACAGAGCTCCGCACAGTCGGCATTCGTGCTGTGTGCCTTCGGTCAGCATGTGAGATGTGACGTGGAGCTGGATTTCATACTCTGAGGAGAAAGATTGCTGGCACTTGATGCACTGAAATGATGCCTGGGGAAGGATTTGATAGAAGAAAAGAACTTAATGAAAATGTTGTCCACACCTCAATTTGGCTAAATTTCACGTCTTCCCCCACAAGCTTCTGAATAAGAGTTAGATTCTTAGTCTATTCTTAGAAATAAATTTTTTTTAGGCATTTCATAAAGTGGCTAAAAGTAAGGTAGCCATTACCCTCCTTAGAATTAATATTCTAACTCTACTTAATCAATATTTGAATATTTGATCACTATTTGTTGCTAGGCAATAAACAAGGGTTGATAGAATTTCTGACAACTATAAACTGTTATTTAATCGTTCTAATGATAAAAATTTTAGTCCATGTTTAAAAAAAAGTTGGTCAAGTGTAAGTTTTGGATTTTCTGATTCATTTTTGGTTTCACATTGCCAGATTTTTAAGAATGCACTTAAACTATAATACTGATTTGATTTCTTTAAATATTGCAGCATCAGTTTTTCTTAAGGTTTGACAAAAGAATTCAACATGTATTTAGCTTCGGTTTGACGGAAGTGAATCACTCACCTTGTGAGTCTGCATGTGGGCATCCAGCAGCTGGGCAGTGGCAAACTTTTCACTGCACTGGGAGCAGGTGTGGAGTGGGGCCTCACCATGGTAACAGGGCTTACAAACGTAATAGGTACGTCCGCTTGAGTTGAGTTTGGACACCAGATTCTCTTTGGACTCAAAGCTTTTCAAACAAACGCAGCAAGTGAAGAAAGCCGGGCGTGGCTGGAAGTGATGGCGGCCATGCATCTGGAGCTCCACTAGGGAAGAGAGTGTCTGTAAAAAAAAAATTTAGAATAAAATAGGTTAGGTTTTCTGTAAAAGTATTTTTCTATTGAACGCATTAATAAATTCTTAGATGGAAAATAAAGTATTTTGGTAATGAACTGTCATGAATCAAATAATGCACAATCAAATACATTAGCAATAGTATTTTCTTCTCAAAGATGTTTTTATTGCTTTATATATAAGGTTTAACCATTTGCTATCATTTTGTCTTTTACTTTACATTAAGACAACCTTGATTTGTTCACCAATTATTTCTATCTAAGGACATAACCATTATTCATTTGACATTGTTTTAAAAATTATGGATCCCCAATGTTTGTTGGTGGGAAAAAAAAAAGCTTTGATAGCTTTGGGTTTTATTTGTGAGATTGAGATTTAAATCCTAAAA